AACAAACATGCCCGATATAAATCTATTATATAAAAATAAGTCCGGTTTTCCTCCCTGACGCTATAACTCGAGAACGCACGAACCGATTTCCACGGTTTTGCATTCGTTGGAAAGGTCTTGGGCTCCGTGAGGTTTATAGCAAAGAAAATTCTGGAAAATTCAGGAAAAATTCAACAGAAAAGTGGGAAAATCGTTTTTCACATACAGCGCCATCTATTATACATAGCATGTACTTCAAACCAATAGCAACGGTGCGTGATAAAGTGTTTGACGGATAGTTGTTTATTATATAGTTGACGGATAGTTGTTTACATTATTCTCTGCTCAGTTAATTTCATTTAAGCTAAAATAAATTATGTAAATTATGTGGATCGTGCATTTGAAGTTAAATTCAACACTCTGTCCATAGTCCAAAATGCCTAGAGAACGACGTGCGAACATCGGCCGCCGCACAAGACATGCAAGCCAGCAACAAGTATATTCAAGGAACTTAAGAGAAGAAAGACAAAATATAATAAGAGAAAATGACCGATTGAGACATCGCGTGAGCACACGAAGATCATTGGCATCATACAATCGCTTGGCATTCCAATATGATCCCACTGCGAACTACAGTGATGATGAAAATTTTGATATTGGACGAATGACGACTATATGCCGATATTGCAATGCGTTAAAGTTCAAAAGAGAAACGGTTGGATTGTGCTGCGCAAGTGGAAAAGTCAAACTGGATCCATTACTTACACCACCACATCCACTGAAAACATTGTTTGATGGAAGTGATCCCGATTCCAGCCATTTTCTTCAACACATCCTTGAATACAATAACTGCTTTCGCATGACTTCCTTTGGAGCTAATATCATTCGAGAAGGCGGCTTCATGCCGACTTGCAAGGTAAAAGATACAACACACATAACCAACACATAATTGCAACACATAACAACTTCATATACACCACACACTACACAATCAAACGATTTAAAAGGTATTCATGAACAAATTTTAATGATTATTTGCAATTACAGATACAAGGTCAAATATATCATTTGCATGGTTCAATGGTGCCAACCACACGAGATGAACCGCATCAATTTCTGCAAATATATTTCATTTCGTCGATGGTGGATCAGCTGAACGTGCGGTGCAATATACAGGGAGCACAACAGTTAAAGAGACGAATTATTGAACAGTTGCAAGCATTTTTTCACGCTAATAATGCTGTGGTTAATATGTTCAAAACAGCATTGGAACGAATGCCATCGGATACGCACAAATTTGTCATAAGAGCGGATTGTACTCCAACAGGTGAACATGTGCGAAGATTCAATGCACCCACCGTTAATGATGTTGCTGCAATTATTGTTGGCGATCCAACTAAATCACGAGACATTGTCGTTCAGCGAAGAAGCAATATCATGCATCGTAGGAGATACCAGGATTTCCACCACATAACTTGCAACTGAAAGTTGGTACAGTTATTTTGATACTGCGTAATTTGAATCCACCGCGACTTTGCAACGGTACTCGACTTTCGGTAAAGAGACTTATGCCGAATTTAATTGAGGCAACCATTATTAACGGAAAGTACGCAGGTGAAAATGTATGTATTCCTCGAATACCAATGATTCCGACTGATCTTCCGTTTGACTTCAAACGATTGCAATTCCCAGTTCGCCTTGCGTTCGCAATGACAATTAATAAGTCGCAAGGCCAATCGCTTAGTGTTTGCGGGATAAATTTGGAAAATCATTGTTTTTCACATGGACAGTTATACGTTGCGTGTTCACGAGTTGGGAAACCATCCGCTTTGTTTGTGTTAACGTCAAACCAAAAAACAAAAAATGTGGTTTACCAAAGAGCACTACAATGAAACAATTAAATAACACTTCATTTTAGTAGGTAATTGAAATGAATTTATTACTGTTGTGAAATGAAATAAATATTTTCCTTTTCAAATATATAACAAAAAAATTTTTTTTCTTTATATTTTAATCACCAAACGAAAAAAAACATAAAACGAATCTGGTGGCGAAACGGAGTTCGCCGGGTCTGCTAGTAAATAAATAAATATATGAAATATAATAAAATCTTATAATAAAATAATTAAAAAAAAAAAACTTTTTTATTAGCTGGCTTCAAGGTAACTATGCTGGTAACTATGCTGGCCACAAAAAAACACTACTATACCATAGCTGTATATTTATTGTAGTAAACAAATAGTTTTTTGAAACCCGTCATCGTACGTTTATCTCTGTTCATATTTTTCCGTTTTTCTGCCGTTTATCACGCCGTAAATACAAATATGGACGCCACAGTTCCAAAACAATTCCAACAAATGTATGCCAATAACGAGGGTCGATCTATAGTCGACATTCTGGATTTGGCAGTGAACCTAAAGGTCACAGCTGCGGTCAAGTCACCGCTACTTCACCGCGGAAACGCTGCAGAGGGGAGTACCCGGTCGTCGCCGGAATTGAGTATTGACTCACAGGTATATCTGGAGAAAAATGTGCTTATGATTGGAGGACCATCGTCGGAGCCCGCTGCACCTTTTCACTTGAAGTCGAATACGGACGCACTCGAAGAAACTGCAGTAGCTGACGTTTATGCTTTGCCAGTGGTGAACCTTAAGGTCACGGTAGAGTCACCGATACTTCACCGCGGAAACGCTGCAGAGGAGAGTACCCGGTCGTTTCCGGAACTCACAATGAAATCATCTTTATGCCTGGAAGACGTGCCTATGATTGGAGGACCATCGTCGAAGCCTGCTGGGCCTTTTAGCGTGGCACCGAATACTGACACACTCGGGGAAACCTCGTTGATTGACGGGGCTGTCCTACCGATTCCTACATATTCCGAAGTCTCGGAATACCCGGCAACATCACGGTCTGTTGGTCCGCGGAGGAGGTCCGCCTGGAAGAGAACTAAATGGTTCGTTTGGAGGTCGTTGGTGAACGTGGCACGCAGGGTTTGCTTCTGCCAACCCTTTGTAGACGTAGAGTAATGTCCACCAAGTTTTCGACTTCTCCCCTACCACCACCGTCTGACCCCGCCCTTTAAGTTTGTAATATTATTATGAGCTCGTTCACCCGTCCGTCCGGTATTTTTCGCTCCCGCGTTTGCGCCCGTTGGTGTACGCCGTTTTCCGATCGAGTACTTGGCGTACGCCAAAATTAACTAAATTATTTTGTTTTTATAAATCAGCCCTGTACTTTGTAGTGTCAAAACTTCATATTTTTGTCCCGGCTGCAATCAGTATTACTTTATTAGTGAAATCTTCTTTATCAATATGCATTCGCGCGTATGCAGAGTCCACTTGTCCCTTGATTAACTTGGTCAATTTTGTAATAGATGTATTATACTATTACGGACCCTATAATACGGTAAATGTGTAGTTAAGTTATCCTATGAGTCGACCAATTGTTTATGTTTATTTTGGACAACGGGCCCTTATGTTTATAATAATTATCACTGTATTTTGTAAATTTGTATTACCACTATATTTTGTAAATTTGTATTATCATATGAGACTGCTGTCTAAAAATGATGTATCATTATAATGAAACTGCTGTCTAAAAACTATGAATCTACTTATTATATGAGACTGCTGTCTAAATTGTATCTATTATTATTTACAGCGTTTGAAAATGTCATGCAATTTAAAAAAATGTAATATTTCGTGAAATATTTCATGAATTATTTCAAAATGTGTGAAATATTTCAGTGGTTTAATAAATTTTGTTTTATTTTTAAATAAGTTTTATATTTACATGTAGCCGACCCGTCACAGCTTCGCCCGTGATTGGTTGTTTATTTTGCCTCTGAACGATGATATGTATAATTTTGTATTCAAATTTTATAGCTTAATGTGATGTGATCGGCAAGTCAATATAAAAAAACTTTTAATGAAAGCGTCTTGAAATGTTTCTAGCGGTATTAATGATATATATATTTTTATTACAAAAAAACCGATCATGTGCATATCGTTGCCGTTAAATGGACCAATTCTATATATATGACTCAAACTTTGTTCAATTCGTTATTTCATATTCGATATATGGTGTTGAAAACTTATCTTAACTTTTCCGTTGTGCCCAGAATAAAAATTCTGATTCTCAGCTGTATATCATCAGGTAGGCAATCGCTGATCCCGTGCTGTTTGTACGTAAGTGTATGATTTAGCTCTAGAAGTAGAGTATCAAAGTTACTTCATTCCACCTACGGTGAATTGATATAATTAATCAATACAAAATCCTAACCTAACCTAACCGTACTAAAATCCGATGAATAAAAAAAACCAAATTTCTATCTTCTTCCCAGAGGTCTAATCTACACACAAACATTATATAACATTATATATCTACGAAAAATAATAATACAAATCAACAAACATGCCCGATTAACCAATAGCAACCGATATATAATACACTATTATTATTTTAATCTGCAACAATTAACTACATTTTTATTATTTAGTTTATTTTTTTCTGGACAGATGGCGCCGCTGTTGTATTTTTGACATCCCTACTTCCTACTTTTCTGGTGAATTTCCCTAAAATATTCTTTCATAAGAACCATAGGCGTAATTCGGGGGTGGCAAGGGGTGGCAGTTGCCACCCCAGAATTCTCAAACCCAGTATTTTGTCACCCCAGAATTTTGAAGTAAAAGTCTCAATAAATTACAAATACCTAATTGAAAAATACCCTGTAAATGAAATATAGTATAATTCTCATCGATAGTAAAAATAATAATTAAATATTTTAAAGAAATATATTTTTAGAATAATTGTAGGTATCTATCATGACAAAATATACATGTTCATATATACAAAATGTATACAAAAATTATAGTCATTATTAGGATCGCGATAACGATACCACACGTCGCGCTACGGTACTAGTTTCCTGGGAAGTTATCGGTTATTTTTAGTTTCTACTTCGAATGATATAACTGATATTTTTACAATATATTTGGTCAACTTTCAAAAGTGGCACTGTTATGGAAAAAGTGAATCAAAAGTATTCAGAAGAAGTACAAGAAAATAGATTGTACTTGGAAGCTTTGTGTGAATCGTTGATATTTTGTGGCAGACAATCTATTGCTCTAAGAGGTCATGATGAATCTACAGATTCAAAGAACAGAGGAAACTTTTTGGAGTTGATGAAGCTTCGTTCCAAAGATAACAGTTTAATAAAAAAATTCTTTATGGAGCATCGTAAAAATTTTCAGTATACTTCAGAGACTTTTCAGAATGAGCTACTGTCAATTATTGGGGAACAAATTAAGTGTCACATTGCTAAAGAAGTTAAAGAGGCCGAGGTTTTTGCAATTATAGCTGATGAAACTCAAGATATAGCAAAGCACGAACAAGTAGCTATTGTCTTGAGGTATGTTAATGAAAAGTTAGAAGTTCATGAGTCATTTGTGGGGTTTTACCGTGCTAAAAGAACTGATGGCAAAACACTGGCAAATGAACTTAAAAATGTTTTGATTTCAATGGATTTGAACATTAAAAATCTGCGTGCTCAGTGCTATGATGGGGCATCGAACATGAGGGGCCCATACAAAGGAGTGGCAGCTATAATTATGCAAGAAGCCCCAATGGCAATGTACATTCACTGCAATGCACATATATTGAACTTGTGTTGAACATATATTGACATTTTTGTACAAAAATCTTTAAAAAATGTGTTCCCTATGCTTTTTAAACTTTTTCGTCTGTTTTTCACGATTCCAATGAACTCGGCATCTTGTGAGAGGTCTTTTTCGTGCTTGCGACGGTTAAAAACATACACCAGAAACAAGATTGGCCAGGAGAGGTTGTCCTCGTTAGCACTTTTGGCTATTGAAAGAAGTATTGAAGTAAACATTTCCAAAGTAATCGACGACTTTAATTTAAGCCAGAAGAGAAGACTTAATTTTGTGTAAAAATAATTAAAGTATGCTATAAATTAAAAAAAAAATTTTTTATCATGTTTACTTGATTTATCCTTTTTTTATAAGCAAATGGGCCAGGCACACATAAATTAAAATTAGGTACATTTTTATGTTGTGTGTGACCGATAATTATTTTACATGTGGTTTAATTAATAATTCAAGTCATTATAAATTATTTTTTTTAGGATAAATTGTTAGCAATTAAATTTTTACAGAAATAGTCTGAATGAGTTTCAAAAAATAAGAAATTTAAAGCCAGTTTTTGAAAAAAAAAAATCGGGAAGGGGGCGGGAATATCCCTCGGACCCCCTTTCACCAGGGAGTATTCCTTACCACCCGATACGTCTTGCCACCTCAGTTTAAAATGTGAAATGACGCCCCTGATAAGAACCTTGTCCTGACAATTACGAATACAACAAAAAGGAATCAGCAAATCGTTTCTGTAGTTTTCCCGGTTAGCGTGGTCGCAGAAAACTCCTTACAATTTTATATAGTAGTATAGATAACATAGCAACCAATATATTATAATACACTATTATTATTTTAATCTGCAACAATAAACTTTATTTTTTTATGGACAGATTGCGCCACTGTTGTATTTTTGACATCCATATTTTCTACTTTTCTGGTGGATTTTTCTAAACAAAAGTGGTACTATGACCTCCAGCAGACTGTCAAGTATAACAGTAAAAAATTTCAGCCAAATCGGTTCAGTAGTTTTCTCGGTTAGCGCGGTCCAAGAAAACCCTTACCATTTTATATACCTAATAGTATAGATAGATTGGTTGCTATTGGTTAATCGGGCATGTTTGTTGATTTATATTATTATTTTTTGTCAATATATCTTATATATAAATGAATGATTGTGTGTAGATTAGAGTATTAGACCTATAGGAAAAAGATACGCTAATTTAAAAAGGGTTAAATTTGGTTTTTTTTATTCATCGGATTTTAGTACGGTTAGGTTAGGTTAGGATTTATAAGTAGGTGGAATTAAGTAAAAACGTCAAACTTGGTATAACTTCGGTACTTTTTGAGTTAAATTATACACTTACGTACAAACAGCACGGGGTCCGCGATCTACCACAGGTAGATTGCCTACCTGATAATATACTGCTGCGAAACAGAATTTTTATTCCGGGCAACAGAAAAGTTAAGATAAATCTAGAACATCATACACCGAATATTAAATAACGCATTGAACAATGTTTGAGTCATATAGAGTTGGTACATTTAACGGGATACGAAGTGCAAGGGATCAGCTAGTATAATTATAATAGTATAATACCAATTAGTTCAACATTAAATGTTAGCATTTGAATGTAATGTACAATTTAAAATATGCATGCTAATCGTGTTCAATTTTAATGTAAATTAAATCAAATGTAAGTATTGATTATGATATTAATATATTATGTGTAAAAAATACTTATCTCGAAGTATGATTGGTGAAAACTAAAAATCACTCATTTAGAATTTAAAATGACAATGAATGTCTATGTCTAACACCAATTCGTAGTTAAATTATACAACAGTAGGTACATACTTTGTTCAAGTACTTTTTTCAAATGTATTAAAAATACGTACTATTGGTTACTTAAAAAGTAGGTAGTTGAATACTTTTACAGTTAACTCAAGTACTTTACAAGATTCCTATGCGTCCATTTTACTTATGAGTTTTTGATGAGACAATATTAGAAATAGTCCTATAACAAATACCGTTGTAGTAAAAAAAAAAAAAACGGTGAAAAAGGTTTATTTCATATGCGAGGGGGGAAAGCTAAGGTAGGCAGGGGTAAAGCTTGAAAGTTTAAAATCGTAAAGTTTCACGTTCTGCGACAGTCGTGCAAATGCATGCTAATGACGTGCTAATGATTGGTAAAAAAAAAAATTTGTAAAAAAGTGATTATTTCACTTGTGGGGGGCTGGGGGTAACGTTACGCCCAGCCCCCCATAGCTTTTTATAAATAACTCGTCGTGAAAATGTCGTGCAAATTCTAAAAATAGTCGTGCAAATGCATGCTAATGGCGTGCTAATTCGAGACTTAGTTTTTTTTGTAAAAAGTTCAATGAGGGGGGCCAGGGTAATGTACGTCCTATCTTTCTCCCAATCATCAAGTTGGTCGAGAATGCGATTTCTTTCAGCCATTATATTGTTGTGCCTTCATCGGAAAAAAAACATAAATAGTAAAAACAATAAACCTATAGTAAAAATAATAAATTGTTGAAAGACGACTCTATCGACTTCCCCGCGGTGTCTCCAGGGTAACGCTAATTGACTGATAATATTATGAAGTGGTAATTTATTATTATGTGACAGTATCATTAAGTGTTTGAACGTACATCTCATAAGCCCGGGCCGCAATTAGGACTTGATTTAGGGATTGGACCACAATTCACCATATATTATATTATATTATAATAAGCCGATAATATTACGTCTGTATTATGTTAAATGTTAATTGAAATTAGGCGCCACACTTAATTGTGTTTGTACGTGGGGTGCTATAATCCAAAATACACCACCGCTGGGTAGCATGCCGTGTGCAAATACATTTGATTATTTGAATAATAATTAATTTTATTTGTATAAAAAATATTTGCATCTTTATTTTCATATTGGCTATAAAGATGATAAGCTGTTGATCATAATGCCAATACTTGGTCAATGTATTCATATTTTTAGAAGTTATAGTTATTACTTATTACCATTTGTTATATAGGTACAACAGGTAATTTCATTTTTGCCTATAGTTCATGAAAGTGTCCAATTACTATCATTGCTGAATGCAGATAACATCGTAACATACTTTTAACTACATTAATAGTTAAGGTATCTTAAATACTTAACTTTTAACAATATAAAACAAATATTTATTTTCATATTTATATAGATAAATATAAATGCAGTCATATTTTATTAGTATTTATATACATTTTGGTTATAACCCTCGTTATATTAATTAATGGTGCCTATTTATCTTGAGAAAAAAAAGATTTATAATCACAACGGCCAGCACTGCAGACTGTAGTACACTACGTCAATACGTCATGGAGGTATTAATATCTGCAAAATTTCATCATATAAAAACTATAGGTGGGTATACTTATTACTTATTAGTTATAATTTATTATATAAAATAAAATCTTCAGGACATTTAAATTATGTCTTTTATTCAAAATAAATTAAATACAATAGGTTACAATTACATCATGCTCAATTTTAGTAATTGCTCAATAATGTTTATAGATTTTGATTTTAAACATAGGAATTCATTATGTAATCAGTCAAGAATTAGTATAATTTATAAACATATAAATACAAATTAATTTTTAATGTTTAAGTGTTAATCAACTAATACCTATGAGGAAAGTATGGCATTTTTCCGTGATAATAATATATACTCTACTCTCAGCATTCAGTAATCGATGCATAATACACCAAATTATATTTTTAATGGTTTGAAATGTATTGAACTATTTTAAAAATAACACAAAACTATTAACAATGCGTAAAATATTAAAAACAATAATTGTGTACTGTAAAACATAAATAAATTTTCTTATAATTAAAATTGTTTGAATTATGTTAAGGATTTGGAGGCACATATTTTGAGGTAGTGGGAATAAGGCGTATCTTATATTATAAAGTATAATATTTAATATGAAGTCGAAAACAATTTAGTCGATGTTAAATAAGAAAGCTTCAGTGTTATATACAAATTTTGTAATATGCTAAAAATCAGACTAGCAAAGTAATGTTTTTGATTTGTATTCAATATTTTTCATACTATTATATAGGATAGTCAAGCTCAAAGTATTGTGTCACTGGACACCCCTTTTTTACGCGTTATCTAATTTTTTTAATCCACGGTGAATATTAACCTAGGTATTGTTTTTAATTTTACAGATTGGAAATTATCATATATACTTATTTAAAAAAAAATAAATATTGTTCATTATTGTTTACACTAAACTGTATTTAAATAAAACCTAAATTTAATTTTAATTTTAATACATAAATGCATTTTTTATAAATTATTTTTCTGGTATTCTTGGGAAATTAAGGCTTTATAATAATTTCCAAAACCATACAATAAACATTCATTGCACAATGTAGGTTAGCTTACAATAATTTACTCAAATGTAAAAGGCCTATGCAGTTAGTTTTAAAAAAAAGTTTGATGCTATCACATATTTATAACATTATGTTTGATATATTGTGTATCTAGTTATTTTAAGTACAATTTAATTGCAGAACTTCTAATTTTATGATAAATTCGTTTCAGTAACCAAAATAAACGAAAAATCTTTAAAAATGTGTTTATTAATATATTTTTTGAACATACATTTGGACTGCTCTGTTTTTTAAATTTAAATGCATATATAATAAAGATAACGGGTAGAAAATTTTAAAAATATACCAAGTAAAAAATTACCCGAAGGATTATTGGATTGAGGACCTTCCAGTCAATGAAAGTAACCCGTTTGCAGATAATAATATTTATACAACGAGAGTACGTTTCTAACTGATATCACATTAGAACCATGACATCAAATTAAACTAATTTTATTAAAAACCAAAGTACAATAAATATTATAATAATCAATAACGTCTAAGAAGATCACAATAATTTTGGGAGTGGAAGATGATTGGGATGCCCCTGCTTATCACGAAACGATGGTGGTTCCGGTGTTCAGCTTAGGCGGCAGAAAATGATCGTTGCAGATCATTAATCGTCACAGGAATGATTCTGGCCCGGGCAGTTCGCCGGGTTTTATGAGGAACGGCTCCAGTTGGGCCATCATCAGGTCACTGGTGGACAATTGCTTGTCGTGTAGTTCACTACGGGGCTTGTAATTCCTAGACCCGGAAGTACTGTCCGACGGGTCACTGTAGTTGGTAGAGTGGTCTTGCAGGGGTTGCATATGGTGCATTTCTGAAAGTAAACCGACAATGACAGTTTCTAATAAGGATCGAATATTCGAATATTTTTCGTTCAGATGAAATCATGCAGCGTTAACACAAAATTACCTCTATAGTTATTAAAAGGAAGTTTCGATTGTCCAAGAATATACAAGTCCAGTAATGGAATACATAAATTTAATAATATTGTATAATATTATATTTTATAGGTATAGGCACTTTATTATTGCACATATATTTTGTGATTGCACAAATATAAGAAATATAATATGTGAAAGTATATATAGTCATATAGATAATTAATATTTTATTAAATATAAGAATGATTAACAAATTATATTCTTAACAAATAAGAATTAAAAAAATAATAACAAAATAAAGATTATTTTAAATGTTTATTGTTGATTAGTATTTATTTATTCATTGAAACAAAAATATTATAGTAAAATACTTGTATCAATTAGTTTAAAAAAACATATAGCTTTAACAAGCAAACAAACATAATATTATACATCACTTATTATTAGCAATGAAATATTAAAATGCGTACAATGTAATTTTAACTTTCTAGAATATTTGAAAGTACACAAAATTAGTTGGTTAATTTTATAATAGCTTGTATAAAGGAATTATGTTTTAGTGTATGAAGATAAAGATTTATATATCTAAAACTATATGTAATTATTTGGTTAAATCAATAAATATGATAATATGTATGTACCATTGTATTTGTATAATTCGGTATAGGATAGGTATCATAATATTACTTCGGTATACTTAAGAAATATGATAATTCTTCAAAATAATTTATGTTTTTTATAGTTAATTACATTACCTATATGGCTATAAATTATAATACTTTATATATACAAAAGAATATTTTCATTCAAATGATCAAGATAAATATATATTATATACCTACAACCTACATAAAATATAGGTCTATAGTATTATACTCTTTATCAACATAAGCATATGTATGAAAAAATAACACTTATATTATTCTTTCGATATTATATGTATTATGCTCACCTAATGTATTTATGTAGGTAGGTTACTTATCCATTAACTTATCGTAATTACTCTGTATTGGAATGTTTAAAATATGTTTGCACGCTAACTGTTTATGAAATATATTATTATGCATTTTTAAATAATTGGTTTTAAAAGAAAAAAAATTGTACAAACTCTATATTTTTTAAAAAGATAGTGATAGAAAATGAAATAAAATATATCTCATGTTACGTAGTTTATGGGTACGTTAAAAAGCTGTAGGAAGAGGTTAATTTTTTGCTTTTTTTCTAAAAACGAATCATCAATTTTACCAGTATGAGCCCGAAGCGAAATGAGCTTTTTCAGATCGTGTGCACTGCAAAGCGGCGTGTCTACAACATACGTATTATTGAATAAACTATAATCCACTTCGTGTTCACCAGTTTCTTTTTTGAATGACACTAATGTATCAAACCTATGTCCCCAAAGTATTTCGTTTGGCAGATACGATGACCTAGCTTGTGTCGTCATTCCCGTGGACTCTATTACTCCTGTAAAATTTAATAAATAGTTTAGAAAATAGTCAATTGTTGTTTTAAAAAATTTCATAATTATTTGTGTACTTAGAAGAAGTATTAATTATTGATGTATTGCAATTAACAGCACATAAAATTACATTTAATTTCCTATCTAATGGCATTTTATGATAAAGTGTTGAACGTGTTTTGAATGTATGGAGTTAAAATAAAGTTTAAATTTAATAAAGTTTAGAATATTTGCAATAAAATCATTAATTATAATTTTAAAATTAAAATAAACTATACAGTAGATTTTTTTTTTTTTTTTTTATTGCTCTTAAGCTTCGGCAACTATGGCCATTAGCTGTAGAGGTTTATTTGTGGGTTGTTAATGTCGGTAGGGGGAAGAACACGTGTGTGTTGGGTTTTGGCAGAATTTTTGATTGGGCACCCGTAGGTATCTGCCATGCCCGGGTGGGGGATGGCGGCACTTGTTCTCCGGACACCGTGACTTGCCCGGAGAAAAATGCCGCCCAGTGGCCGAGAGAATCGAACCCGCGACTGCCAGCGCCGCAGCCGACGCGTTAGACCGCTCGGCCACCTCGTCCCCCACAGTAGATTCTTATTAGGTCAAACATCAATAGATATCTCAAATTGTATGAGTAGGTATGATATTTTTGAACTCAATTGAAATCACTTGAAATAATTACCATTACGATAAAGCTCGATGTCTCGAACTTTTTGCCGTTCGACAGAGTTAACTATAATTATAGTATAAGCCCTAATAAAACAAAAATGTAATACGCACATAATAGTTGTTTAAGGTTTCAGATGTGTATGGATTTTACTAACTATCAAAAACCGTCTGTAATTACATTGATTCAAAATTAAATATAATATTCTATAAATAGAAATATATTTATTTTTATTTTAATATTATCTTGGTGCAATCACAAGAAAAATTTTGTTCCTAAAATTTGAGTAATTTACTAAAATTGAAAAAGTATTCTAATCGGCTGGTTTTATTTGTCTTAACAGTATAGTTACCTTCTAGGACGACGACAATTTCAAACTTCTGTTGTAGGAAATCGGCAGCCGAAAGCATGTACAGCGGTGACTGCGGAGTAATTTTGTGAACAATAGTCGTAGGCCATATGAAGAATATCCTGTCCTCTTCGCCATCACCACCGACTTTAAGTTCCTGTTGATGGAACGGTAATAGTTCACCTTCTATTGTCATCTGGTACAATAATTCAAATTAGTGGGTAATTCGACAATTGGTCATATTTTATCATATAATATGGTGTACAATATTTAATGTCATAATATATTATTACATCTATATACATATATACCCAATACAACCTCCTTATAACAGACCCCCTATAAGACACGGACATTTCCTTACAACGGAGAATAACAATCAGTCCCGTTAGTCCAGTAGGTATACCTAAGTGTATAACCTATTTGTACCCAGGTCTGCACGTATATTTTAGCCTCTCTATAACGAAAACTCCTTTATAACGAAAAAAATCAGCTGATACCGAGTAGCGATCCTATTAAATAAGTAGGTTTTTGTGTATTTAATTCACATTCGTAAAATTATCCGTATAGACAATATTTTGGAGTATAATAATATAATTGCATAGCTGTGCGTATTTCCATCGTATTTCATGATGCAAATCGTGTGGGTCGTTATCTGCTGCAAGTTGCAACATTCTAATATAGATATACTTACTTTTTTCTTTATTAGCTGCGCCCTGACGTGTGCCTCGATAATGTGAGATTTTCTCATGTCACCCACTCGGAACATGAGACACAGAATGCCATCCCTTTGGCAGATCACAGCGTTTCTGCTGAACAACAGCGTCTGGGTGCGCTTTTTCGGCCTGGACAACTTGGCGAACACCACACCCACCATAAATGCCTGGATCATAACGCCTACTATGCTCTGTAGACACATAATGAATATTGCTTCAGGACATTCTTCGGTCGTGTGTTTGGAACCATAACCTGATAATATATACATCACAAGTTGGTATTACAGACAAATTATTATTAGGTATTATTATTATTATTATTATTATTGTGTTTGTCGGATGTCAAGACCATCATCACAGAATGGTAACGGTCGTGTACGTTGGTCGGCTTTATAATATAGTCTCAATTATATGCAAAAAAAAAATCGCCCGGTTTTAATAGGCAAACGATGAAAAAAAAATAGCATATCATCATCGTCCATATCCGTCCAAACAATACGGTTTAGATTTTTACCTATTGTGTGCTGAGTTTCGACGCTGAACAGAAAGCACGAGGTGAAAGAATACATTTCTCGAACACATGGTACCCACGTTGAGTTATTATCCCTTACCGAGAATTCCAAATCGCCGTGGTTTAGTGCGATCAGCCACCATACGATGGCAAACCCTAACCAGCTGAGCATGAAGTTCATTGAAAACACTAACAACGTCCATCGCCATTGAGCATCGACGAGTGTCGTAAATATGTCCTAGAAAAATATAGAAAAAATATATACATGTAAACATCATCAAACATACCTATTATTTTGTAACGAGAAAATTAATAAAATAACTTCAAATCAAATGTTACAATAGAACTATACATTATAATATAATATTAATGTTGTAAAATATTAGCTATTACTCGTAATAATAATAATATACAAATGCAAAACCAAGCGGTCTAAAATACTATCATATATACCTAGCATGAAGAATATTTTTTCGACAGAAATTTGTAATTTTTAAAACTAGAATAATACATTTTTAAAAGTATTAAAAGTGATTATCCTATTAATAAATAATTTGAAAATAGTATCTTGTAGTAAGTTATAGATTATGTAATTTATATTAAGCATAACTATTTGCGTTCAAGGTGAATCCGTGGGAGCATAGAAAAATGTCATAGAAATAATTTTTGTCACTATTATAAGTGCACAATATGAACAAGCGAACTGTTGTTTTAAAACAATAATATGCAATGCGCAATGAACACAATTTATATATTCAATTAAATAGTATCCATTTATTATGACGTTGATACTGCATTTTATACAGCTGTTTTTTTTAATTTTATTTAAAGCTAAATTTATTTTATTGCAATATTATTTTATTACCTTAATTATTAATGTAATCTCAGTAAAGGGTTTGGGTGAAAAAAATTTATGTAAAACCAATATATGATTATATCTAATATACTTCCTCCGTCCTCCGTTAAAAACTATAAGTAAATTTATAAGATGAACCAAAATATCTCTTATCCTTGATTTTGTGTAATACAAATCAGTCATCAGTGCCTAACATTATTTCTGAACGTGCCATTTTGGTTTTAATGAACAGTGATAAATTATATTGTGCCTACGTTACAAAGTTGTGAGTGTCAAGAGAAAGCTGCAGATCTAACACAATAATTATGTAGGTAATTTTAATTTTAAAATCCCGCATAGCGTCTGAATAATACATAAACATATATATTACCAATGTTTATTATATCTATATCTATATGTATATTTACTATTCGTCTATACAAACAAAACGTAAGTTCTTCTAAAAACGTATACGTGAATAACGGCAAATTATGGTAATATGTGTTAGTGTTAGGTATAAATATTGGGACGCCGCCATCACCATCATATTATATAGTGACATAGTGTTAAGAAATTTATTTCCCATCGCGTCAATCTAAAAACGATTGTGCTTAACCATTTAGAAGAGAATAATAATATATTGGCTCTTTTGATACATTTCCCTGTCCGTGCTTTAAATTATGTAGGTATACTTGTTGGTTCCATTTTGCAGGGGTTTGACGAGATAAAATGATTTTTTTATTACACTCAGCCATTGTCACGCTCTAGATTTCAAATACAGCAGTGACAGCAGGCTGGTAAAAAAAAATACATTTAAAAAATAGTGTGCGATGTCAACACTAAAAATAGGCTAGTGATTTAGACACTAAGATGACAAGGAAATTGGTGTGCAGTGCACGGCACACAGCTTACTCAGTCGGAAGACATTAAATGTTTTTTATATTATATAATTAAAAATAAAAACTATGAGGGTCAGGGTACTCGGTGTGAGCTATTAGGACGGGTCTGTTAGGTACATTTGTGCTAAAATGCTAAATGTTAAAACATTAGGTACATTCAAAAATAATTCTCATCAAAGATCACTTAAACCCACATTTGCCTATACTCTTTTCAACAACTTTATCAAGTTTCGTGTAGTTTGTCTATGCTTTTATGACGGCGTGTATATAGAGAACATTTACATAATATAATATTATGTTAATGTTTAATGTTAAATGAACTATTTACCGCCACTATTTTAACGTTGTTTTGATAAAAGAAAATAATAACAGAAACAGGCCATATCATGTACCATTATATTATATAATATACCTAATATGAATTATTATTATTGCAGTTCATTATGTATTAGGTTCAGAATTTATAATAAATCAAGTGAATGCATTTTTGTTTTTTGATAGTGCACTATGATTACTGATTTAGATCAAACGTTTACTGAATGTTGAACACATAATATTTTATACATACCTAATCTTATAATCGATGTCACATATTTCACACGTACTCACTGCTCAGTGTAATAGGGAATGAAAAATTCAGTTTGCTTGTTATATACTATAGATTATAGAATATTAAATATAATGAAATTATTAGATAACAAACGGGGTGATTGAAAATTGTTGAAATTTTTTTTTTAACAAATATATAAGTTACTATAGCACAATTTTAATTGGAGAAACGTTTTCAATATATAAACTATAATTATATAGTAACACATTTTACTAACATTATTTTATTTGAACTCAAATATAAATAAGAAAAATGTAATTAAAAAATACAACGTGTATTAATAATTATGCACCTTTATACTATAAATTACATACCTATCACATTAATTACCTATTTATTATTTTTTCTAACCAAATTAATTAGCATATTATTATAATGTAATGTATATTTTACTTGGTATTTTTAATTATTTACGTAAATGTTTACACCTTTAACTATATTGATTATAAAAAATATGTATATTATTGGTAGGTAAGTGAAGTGCAAGTGTGCAATAATTTCTAAATAAATTTGTACTAAATTAGAATTGAAAAATTATGTTTCAAATTTCTTTATTTTAGAAAAACGTTTAGGTATATTTACTAAAACGAATGATTTGATATATAAACCAATATCTACCTTTACTCTATAGTCTATATTCTATAATAATATAGTTATTCATTTGTATTTAAAATTTAAATATTATTCACCTGTAAATATTTTCTTCTTCTTTTAGCTACTTTTCCTTGAACAACATTACATTCGCCGTGTTTGAATACTACTCTTCTGTATTGCCTTCTAGAGCTGAATCTTGGTTGTCTGTACCTGTCAATACAAAAATATGTTTGATTAAAACTATAATTTAATCGAACACATAGTCACTTTATTAAAGACTACAGAATATTACAAAGAAATAGTTACCTAATAGATTAGTAATATTATTTAAACTTATATAATATCATACTATCTATTGGATCTTTATTAAATTAACTTTAAAACTATTATTTAACAAGCCAATAATTTATTCAACGACTGCTTTATAGTTTGTTATATTATGATGAATTTTAACTAAAAAAAAAGTTTAATTACAAATATATAATTATTATTTATTAATCAGATGTTTTCGCTACCTTTCTCTACAAAAAAACTTTAACAAGCGCTTTAATAATTATTTATTTAAGTGATATTATTTTTGAGATAAGGGAAACTAAATTATAGACATTATAATTAACTTTTTGTCAAAGTAAACAATACACATTTTTAATATTTTTATTAAAACCGATATAAACTAATAAAGAACATAATATACAGATAAATCATCTTATCGTTGTCTAAATTTTATTGGTAACTTGCCACGTTATGAACAACATTTTCCCACGTTTTCAATAGTTTATATACAAACTAATAATCCAGTTCCATAAAATATTAATTTGTCCTCCCACGGTCCACTTGAATGAAATCACATGTTAATCATTTATGAGACTTCACAAGGACATTGACAAAACTGTCACTTTTATCTTATCTGAGTTCTTATTTTTTACATAAGATGAGAATAAGTATATTTTTAAATATGTTTAAAAGGTTTTGTGTAATGAAAACATACTAAATTGCTTTACAATTTTAAATGAACCGAGACAGTTATATTATATTTATTTGAGTAAGACCCAACGAACTCATTATGTCATGAGTGAAAAATGAAAATGTTAAATTTCTTGTAAAGTAATTTATATATATTGCGTAAGTACAATAAGTACAAAGTAAGAATGTTTTGGGTATTAAATACAAAATACCTATCGGTATACTTTTGTATCTATGTTGTTTTACTCTATTATTTATAAATAGTTAAATACTTATTATAAAATATTAAATAATGTACAATTCACTTTAATTTTTAATCATCCGCTTTAGTCGCATTGAACATTTTTTTCGTGAAATGTATTTGCAGACATTTTGTTTTATAGGTACATTTTAAATTATAAATAATTATTCAAAATATTATTTAAATTATAATCTGTATTGTATAAAATAATCGTTATAGTTTGTTTATGTTTTTGAACGAATGATTAAATTTATTGCATATAAGTCATATTTTTAATCATCCTCACACTCTTACATACTAATAAAATAAATAGTTAAAAATATGATTGATGAATAAGCTAAATTATATAATATTAACAGATATAATATAAATAAATAAGGAAACTATTGCATGGATTTGATAATTTCCCTTTTTTGAAATATCTTTTATTTTTTTCTTCGTTGCGAAAATGTATTACTTTTAGTGGCTTAAATGGGTTAGAGTAGTTTTTCAATAATGTAACAGCTTTTACATTTTTACATTAATACAAAAATTGATAATTTATTTTATGTAAAATTGATCTTGTTGATATAAAAAAACAATATTATGCACGAACATGATCGCATTCATCATTTAGAATATATTAGTATGGTTTTTCGATATTATGTATACAACCTATTATAATATATTATGGTGACATATATGGTATATGTATACTATCAAAATATTGCACGGAATAGGTCAAAAATTATAAATTGGTACGCTTACGCACATTTTGCAGAGTCAAAATAACATTTAATTTAATACTAAATAAACATGTACCTACAGTATATTCTATACTTCTATATAATTGTATATGTTTACGGTTTACCTAGATAATCTATATAACTTAAAATGTTAAATTATGTTATGTTTATGTGTACCTAGCTAAATACACATTTATTTTAACATACTTGATACTTAATGTATATTTTTTAGGCAATAACAAAGTTAATGTAAAACATTTTTAGAATTTTACGTCATAGTTAGGTTAAGTAAATTATAATTTATAAATAATACATTTAAGAAGATTCCACACCAAAAGTGTTAAGCCCTGTCCCTATGTCACGAAACAAAACAAAAACAATTTCACTAAATATTTTAAAAATAATTTAAATTTTTTTTATAAAATAGAGTATAAAGTCTAAAAAAATATTGCAAAAGTTCATAGAAAAAATAGGCAAGGATAACAAACCAAACCATTCTTCTTTAGACTAAATAGTAAATTCTATGTTTTAATAGAACTTGTAAAACGTTTTACTGTGAGCACAATATGTATATGCTATAGTTCATTTGTTAGTCAAATATTGTAACTATAATTTATAATCACTTTACAATTATTTTATTTTTAAATACATACATAATCGATTAATTTATTATATTTGGGTTTATTTTAATAAATAAATAGGGATTTCATTCTCAAAGACGATTAGACGCGATTATGTACCTAATGATCGCAATAGCATAACATTTATAAAATATATTTTAACATTTTGTAGAGAATACCTACATTAACAAATTTATATTTATCAGATTACTTATCTGATGTCACATAAGTATAGTTTTATTTTTTTATTTAATAAAAATATTCTAAAAATAACATTAATTAAATATTAAATCTAAGTTAAACTACCCATGACACGTCTGTATAATTCTTTAAATTAAAATGATGGTAGGTACCTATATCAGTAGACGCTTATTTCTTAGATTATTCCCTTATGATAAAATGAACTATTTATAAAATAACAAATACATAGGTACCTAGTGGCTAGTACCTACTATGGTATAACTATAACATGGTTATACTATAACATATTATGTATACAATAGGTGTGACAGAAAGACTTGACGAAAAAACAAATATGTTACATAAATGTATTACAAAAATTGTTAAAATTTCACGATTTGTAAATAATTTAAGAAATATACTCATGTCAGCAAATTCCTAAAAAAAATATTTTGAAAAAAGTTATTACGTTCCAAATTTATTTAATCAAAAAAATATTGATATTTTAAAAATTCTAAAAAATAAGCTACTTGACTTGGATAAATGTTTTACCATCAAAATTGTTCTTATAGGTAGGTAATCAGATTCTCAAATTGGTTATTTCGAATAAATCCAAAAAAATTTAAATCAAAATTAAAATTTTTATTTTCAGTGTTAAAATTTGTTATAATATACGTGTAGTTAGAGTGACTATAAATAATATATAATTATAAAAAAAAAATTTTAAATATTGATTACAACAAAAGTTGTTCCAAAAGTCGGTTCTATCTGTTACACCCTGTTATGCGATATGACACAATGCTGTATCCATCAATAAGTGGAAAGTATTCAATTCATTCAAGTCACAAAAATTAAAGAAACGATTACCATACGAAATATGGTTAACCTAATGTAAATTTAGAACTATATAATATTATATTAATTTGAAAACTTTTCAAAAAGAATGGAAAGTAGGTACTGTTCTATAGTTTGGGTCAGATACTGTCTCACCATTCACCAATATGTGAAATTTATATAGATGGAATTTTAATAATCGTGGCCTACCCTGTTATTTTATTACCTACATAAGAAGATTGATTACTAACCTAATTGACGGCAACAAAGTGTTTCTTTTTTATATGCTTTTGTTTAAAAAATATTATAGGCAATATTAAAACAAAATATAAAGTGCAATAATATACTGACTGCTTATAGTGAAATATTTACAAGATATCTATAGGAGCCAAGAGCCTACATGTGAAAAGTGTAAAACAAATCATTTTTATTGTATACATTTAATTGTATACATCATGCGGTACATAATGAGAATAAAAAATATTTTAAAAATATAGTATACTTAAAAAATTTAAATAATTTGTGTACTCGCTTACTTAGGAGAATTAAAAGTATTTATTACCAATCCTACATTTATCCTACTAATCGCTATTAAGTATATTATAAAATAAAGGCCTAATTGACACTGTTAAAAGTAACTGTTATCTATTTCATTGCAATTATAAGTCCATACATTTTAATATATTATCTATTCGTGTTAAATACTTAAAAAGCATATCACATTTTCTAGCAATGATTCAATAGGAAATTATTTTGTTACTCGGTATTTCTCTAAAATGTATTGACTTTCCAGTGTATCACTTGTTACTCATCCGGTATTCCCAGTAGATCAGATGGGAATTCTTTTAAATGAATGATATTACTCATGTTGACGAGATTTAAAATGTTTGAAACTATAAATAATATATTATATTAATTGTAGTGATATATTATAGTTAACGTTATAGTTACGGCTTGTAGGTTATAAACTGTTGTAAATTATAGGTGCGAGAAAAATATATTTTTATAAAAAACGAAGTGAAAGGACACACTTAATCTTATCACAATGTCGAAGGTAGGTATAATATGAAACTGTAGTGAGTTTGCCCATTAAACTGTACGATGGAGTAATTAAACGGGAATTCAAAAAAATAAAATATACCTATTTCGTTCAACAAATTACATTAACGAATCGTACATTTGTATTGAAACATCGAAGGCTGATAATATTATACTAATATGAATTTCGTGGATATTATATTATTCAGTTTAAAACGTATTAATATTACACCTATCGACCATCAGCTATGACGTGTAGTGTTTCAAAAGTCAAAACCATTCGTAGTCTGCTCGTTATCCGTTGGACACGTAAATCTTTTGCGTGTGTCTACGTGTCTACATGCGGTCAATCAGACATCGTTAGCGTGTCGTGGTTAGCGTGTCGTGGTCTTTAAAAGTGCAGTGTACAATACGTCAATACCTAAATACAAATTAACGTAATACAAATTTATCCTGTAGCCATAAACATACTATGGTTGTATGGATAGTCAATATAATTTTATTTTAATGGAAAAAAAAATTGTAACACCGTTATCATACTCGTGGTTGACTCGAATAGGGTTGAACCTTTATATTATTGATTACATTAATTGAGTGATATTATATTGT